CGGCCGGCACGCTGCTGAGCGGGAGGGGCAGGGAGGCGCTGTAGGTCATGGAGCCCAGGGGCATCCCGATGGGTCCGCCCGCCGCCAGGCCCAGAGCTGGCGAGCCGGCGCGCATCTGGTTCAGGCTCGGCCTGCCCTGCTCGCCCACACCGAAGGGGTTGGTGGGGGACGGAGCACTGAGACCTGCGGAGTTAGAAATGGGGGAGAAGATAAGTTTCCTGGACAAGGCTGCACTCTGAAATGGGCGGAGAGTGTGGGGGTCCTACCTGTCAGGAAAGGGTTCCGTGTCTTTGCAGCCTGAGGCGCCTTGACCAGTGAGTCAAGGTTAACCAAGGAAGAGGCTGAGGGTCCCAGGAAGGACTCAGGGGTCCGGCATGCTCGGGCCTCCTTGCTGGGCTGGGTCAGCGCTCCCCCTAGGACACCCAGGTCAAAGGCGTCGGGCTCCTTCGTGCCGTTTTGCTTGTAACTGGGGCTGGGTTCTCCAAACAGGTCCAGCTCTGGAATAGAAATGGTGGCGCAACTGGAGGGGAGAGGCCTGGCCTCCCAGTGGGAGGCAGGGGGCAGAGGCCAGCTCTGGGTGGGCCCCTCGTTTCCCCCCAGCCTCTTCATCCCTTTGCCTCCTGCTCACCCACAGGACTGCTGGGCTTCCCAGAGGGCACGGCCTGGGCACACTCCAGCCCTTCCTTGGTCTCTGTGGATTCTGGAGGTTTGGCAAACGGGTCAAAGGTCGAGGTACCACCTAGAGCTAGGCAAGAAGGAAGATGACATGAGTTGGTGAAGGAGGGCAGGCACTGGCCTGGCTCTACCAGCAAAGGGGCCGTCTAAATACAGACAAGATGTGCTGCCCCTTGACGCTGGAGGGAGCAGGCCTCAGAAGTCTCCTGGCCCTCACCCCCATGCTGTGTTCCTCCACTCACCAGGTGTGTCAGAGGTCTCCATGGAGGTCCCCCAAGGGTCAGTCCCAGTGCTGGGGAGTTTGTGGTGGGGAGAGCTCAGTGCCCAGGGGTCTATGGCCGGGGGTCCTGCAGGCAGCACTGGGGTCCTGCCCCAGGGCTCAGAGGAGGAGAGTGAGGGAGGCAAGTCCCAAGGCTGGCTTCGGGACAGGATGTTTCCTGACGGGGCTGGAGACCAGGGGTCTGCCGAAGGCCCCCAGGAGGCGCCACTGGGCTCTGTGTTCGGCCTGAGACCTGAAATGGGAACAGTACAGACAATCTCAGACCCACCCTTACCTTTTGTGAGGTCCCTTCCCGGTTACGCAGCCCACGTCGGGCGCTGTGGGACCCATTTCACAGGCGGGATGCTGACTGGGGACCACCCAGCACGTTCTCCCACGAGCCTGAACCCCCAGGCATGGGCAGCTGTGGCCTCCTTCCCAGTCAGGGCTGGGCTGGGGGAGTGAGGGGAGCAAGAGAACATGGCTGAGTTGCCCGCGTGCTGGGCCCTCCAGACGTGCTCTCCCAGTCCTCATTGTCACAGGGACAGCTGAGGCCCAGGGAGGTGAGTGACGTGCCCAGGGACCTTCAGTAAGCGGGAGAGGTGGTTTGCCAGCAAGTGGCTGGGAAGGAAGGGGCTCTCCGGGGCCAGTCTGGGAGCCTTTCTCAGGCCTGCATGCCCACCTGGGATGTCCCATGGGTCAGCAGAGCAGTGTGTGGAGGGCGGGGCCGGGGCAGGTACGAAGATGTCAGCCAAGTCCAGGATGGAGGACTGTGGAGGGGAGAGGCAGCCGTGGCTCAGAAGTGGGCGGGGCCCAGGGACGGGCAGGCCCTGACCTGTCAGCCTGACTCCAGCTCATTCTTCCCTTTATTCATTCAGCAAGCATCTATTCATGATCTCTCATCTCTGGGCATTGTTTTCCACCTTATACAGTGTTTCCTCATTCATTTAGTGCCTGATTTTCATAACCCTATGAGGTACGTAGGAGAGGCCCAGAGAAGTCACACAGGAGGGAGAAGCAGAGCTGGTGTAGAACCCAGGACAGCAGAAGTGGGCCGTCAGGGCAAAGACAAAAGAGTTTTTACAGCGAGCCCACCTCCCTGGGTCATTGTTCAAAGGAAACCGTCCCTGGGGTGTGGAGACGTCACATGTGTTTATCAGATTGTCCCCCAAAAAAGATCAGAAAAACTATTCGGTGGTACCAGTCATTTTCACATCCTCAGGCAGTTTACATCCACAAACAACTGGCTTTCGATTCCAACTCCTCCTCCCCGTCCTCTACATTCCACTTCCTTCTTCCGCATTGCCTTTACGTACCATCTTCCCCTTCCCCCATTTTCTGCCCTTTAAAACCATAAACCTGAGGCCAGTTCTGATCACAACTTTTCCATCAGAGAAGCTGTGCCCCCCCGATCCCCGCTTTTCTATACGTGTGTGTCTCTGTGTGTTTGTTATTGCGTCTGCTTCTACCTCCCAGCCTTCCCCACTCAGAGAAACGTGTTCATGCGGAGCTGGTCCCGACACTGGGGAGCATGAGCAGAAAGGAGGCAGAGGCACCCCATGGGTCACGTGGACCGCCGTGCAGGGTGGCTTTGCTCTCTGCAGCTGTGTGCCCCCTGCTCCCAGAAGATACGTATATGAGCCCAAGGTAGGATCAGCCTGTACCCACCACGAGCCTGCGCCCACTTCTACGTCCTGACAGTATCACGTAATCCCACGTCAGAGCTGGAACTACCCAACAAACCTATTGTGCAGAGGAGAAGACTGAGGCCAAGGCCGCGATGTGCCCCCGTGTCACAAAGTGAGTAAATGGCAGCCGATCCAGAACCCTAATCCAGGGGTCTCAGATAGGGATTATTTTACATACCGCTTTGCTGTCAGCGCAGTCACCAGCCCACGCAGGAGCTGCTGCACCCCTACCCGCTTTGCATTGAATAAGCATGTGTGTGCTCAGTATTCAGCAGGCATGGCTTTACATGTTACACAGCCTCAGTCCATCTCCCAGACCCTGTCCAGCCCACATTCCCCAGCCCACCCCCTACCTGGCTGGTTTTCAACGTCTCTTCCTTTCTCTCTTCTTTCTCGGGCTCTCTGTCCTGCCGATGGTGGACGGCACCCCCTGCGCCATTGGCTACTGGGGAGTCATCTCCCTGCCAGGACCTCACCTCCTGCAGAAGGCACGGAAGGAGTGAGGATGTGAACGGCCCAGGCTAGACTTCAGGCGAGCTGCACCCTGAGGCTGGAGTCAAGGAGAGAGTGCAGGGTGGGGGGCGGCAGAGAGGTTAGGTGCAGCAGGACCACCGGGTGCACGGGAGGAGCCTGTTAGTGCCCAGGAAGCACCTTCACCAGCACCAGGACCAGGACCAGGACCAGCTCCAGCACCAGCACCAGCACCAATGCAGGCGGCCAGGTGGGCATGGCCCGTCTCTACCTTCTCGTGTTCCTGCCGGCTCAGGCGCAGAGCCAGCTGCAGCTGCAGGTCCTCGTCCCTGTGGGAGGCTGGGGGGACCGGCTGCGAGGGAGGAAGAGCAGATGAACTTGGCCCAGCACTCCCACCCCTGGGCCAAAAGGGCAGCATAGGCCTGCCTGGGTAACAGGGGTGGAGAGACAGAAACAGCCCCCCTGAGCAGGTGTGGGCAGCCTGTTCCCCAGACAACGGCATGGCTGTGGCTTTCTCCCTGCAGTTCCAAATCAGGAAGATCGATTCTCCTGCAACCACTGCGAGCTCCCTGAGCCCAGTTGTGTGAGGCCTGGCTGCTTTCTGCCCCATCTTTCTGGATCCCCAGAGATAATGGCAAAGATGGCATTGGGGTAGCGTTCCTGTCCCGCAAAAGGACAGCTGACCAGGAAGACAGCATATCCCAGTGTCCCCTAGGAATGTGCCCATAAGTGCACCTGCCCTCCCTCACGGCCCTAAGACACACCGGCTGCCCCCAGTTACATACTCACTGCTCTTGCCAGGCCTGGCTGGAGAGGAGGGAAGGGGATTGCAGGCCCTGCCTAGGATGAGCCCAAGGACATGGATAGGCCCTGTGCTAACCTTGGGAGCAGGAGAGGGGTTCCAGGGCCCAAGTGGAAGAGCCTGAGTCAAGGCGTTGGGGTACCCAGGCTCCTCTTTCTCCTCGAGTCGCTGCCCATCTCCACCCCCAGTCGGGCTGCGGGGCCTCACCTTTTCAGCCTCCTCACGGCTCATGGCCAGGGCCAGCTGGAGCTGCAGCTCCTCTTCCCCTGATGTCTGCGGCCGGGCCTGTTCCAGGTCGGAGGTGTAGCGGGGGGATGAGGAGGAGGCTACAACAACCACCATGGTTTTAGTGCCCACGCTGGGACCCAGGGGCTCCCATACCCTCCGCCTGCCTAGAAGCTGAGGCTCAAAGAAGGAAGCTGAGGAAGGGGTGAGCTGGCACTCGAGGGGCCCAGAGGGCCAGAGAGCATGCCGGACGCTTTATGTAAGCTCCCCATTCCCTCCTTGACAAATACACAGACAGCTCAGAGGGTGCCTGGCCTGGGTCCTGAAGCAGGACCTGAACCCGGATCCCCTGACTCTTCCAGAGGGACTCCATCCAGACTGTGGCTAAGGGAGGTTGGGAGGCTCTAATCCAAAAAAGACACAGCCTCACAGCCCTCAGCAAACTGTCAAGGGCTTTAGGAAAGAGGGTCACTCTGAGTATTCCTCAGGTCAGAACAGGCCCAGCTTGGGGGAGAAAAGTGAGGGGCTGCATGGCGGCTGCCTCTGTCCACGGGCAGTGCCCACCAGCAGGGAGTAAAGGGAATGCCATGTGTCTGGACACAGGGTCAGGGCATTTCTGGGCTTGGTCTCATTTAATGTTCAGAACGAACAATGGAGATTGGTAAGATTTCCCTGTCTTTACGGATGAGGAAACTGAGGCTCAGAGAGCTGGGTGCCCAGGTGACACAGCTTGGAAAGGGCAGAATGAAGAGTGCTGTTTGGCTCCAGAGCTGAGGCCTCTGCCACCATGCGGTGCTATCAGACAGCCAGTTAGCAATGCATAGAAATAAATATATACTAACACTGTAGTTTTAGCTAACTGAGCACCTACTGTGTGCCAGGCACTGCACGTGACTTCCTCATCTCACCGAAGCCCCCTAACGGTCTCCCGAGGTGGTATCGATAACCACGGTTCTGGATTGCAGAGCCAGGACCAGACCTCAGGCCACCTGCCTGTCCCAGCCACACCCCCCAGGGCTCACTCACAGTTGTAGGAGGACGGGGAACCTCGCGAGCGGCCATAGTCCTCGCCATGGCGGCGGCTGAAGCTCAGCTGCCCACTACCGATGCCCATGCCCTCCAGCGCCATGCGCTCCTTGGTCTTGAGAGCGTGGGTCCGCTCCTGCCGCAGGCGCTCCTCGTCCCTGAGCAGGGCCATCACCTGCTTGACCTTCTCACGCACGTTGACACCTTGGTCCTTGCCGTCGCGGTCGATGTACTGGAAGTCCTTGAGTGTCTGGATGGTGTAGAGGTTCTCGCGACACTGGTGGGCCACCCGCTCGGAGCCGGTCTTGAGCAGGTAGTCCAGCAGCGTCAGCGCCTTGTACACGTGCCGCCAGTTCTTGCCGCTGTCGTTGAGCCGCCGCCACAGCATGCCCATGACCTCGGCGAAGGCCACCGTGTTGAAGGTCAGGTCGGCGATTTCCGACATGAGCGAGCTGGGTGGGCCCCAGGGGTCATTGCTGGTGGCCTCGCGCACCTTGATCTCCGCCTCGGAGTAGTTGTGCACGATGTTCTTCACTTGGCGCCGGAGTGCAGAGGTCGTCATGGTTGGCGACTTGGAAGTGGGCAGCCCCCACCCCCGCTGGAGGTGGAGGGCCGAGGGCCACTGTCGCGAGGTCACGGTCTCGAAGGGTGGGCCGCCGTGCTGTCAGCAGGGCGGCTGCGTCCTTCGGCTCCACATGGGGCTGAGGAAGAGAGGGTCTGGAGCTCAGGGCAGTGGCCCACTGTGCTGGTCATTATGCCACCAGCTGACTAAATGAGACCTGGCCAGCAGTGTCCCTGCTGCCGGGAATGGCCTTCAGCCGCACTGTTTCTCATTTTACTTACTATTTGGCCTGCACGTCTAGCTTCATATGTTCATCTAGCTTCACCAAGACACGGTTATCTCCTCCATTCATGTAGGGGAAAGTGAGGGTCAGAGAAGTATTAAATGACTTCTCCAAGACCCTAGAGCTGGTAGGGAGACCAGGGGACCCTATGCAGCCCCACCTGAGAATGCACAGCCCCAGTGAGGACACTGAAGTGCCCCCCAGGAGTGCCCGCCTGCCCTGCTTCTGCTTGGTGTTCTCCCTCTCTGCCAGGACCCAGCTTCTCTCAGTTTGTGTTTCTCTGTTCTATTGTTAATTTTTATAGTTCGGACTCCCAGAGTCCTTTTCTGAGCCAGGCCCAGAGCACCTAGCGTGGGCCACCCACGTGTGGGTGACAGGCGTAGTCCAGGGTGGAAGCACAGAGGAACAGAGGAAGGCCCAACCAAGGAATTCCAGGGGAGACTTCCTGGAGGGGGTGTGGCTCACTGAGCTCCAGACCCGAAGGGCAGGGTGAGGAGTGAACCAGCAAGGTGAGGAAGGGCAGCGTGCAGGGCCGAGAGCTGGGCCAGGAGGCGGGCAGGAAGGATATTTGGTAAAGGCGGCCTCTCAAAGGCCAAGGATGAGACCTGCCCGCGTCACGCTGTGTGTAGTGGCAGAGCTGGGACTAACACCTTGGTCCCCAGAAAGCCAATCTAATACTTATTGCACGTATCGCCCAGTTTGGTCATTAACTCACCCAACTGACTACTGTTTCAGTCCGGCCTTCTCGGCCAGAGGAAAAGCTCCCTGAGGGGGGGGCCATTCGGGCTCTCTAAACCCTCAAGGCCCTGGACACATGGTAGACCACGGGTACCCAGCAGAGGGAGGCTCAGAGCCAGCCCACTGCCCTTCCCACAGCCTCAGGCCCAGGCTGTCTGCTGAAAGCCAGGTGAGGCCTACCAGAGAAGAGTCTGCTCAAGGCCCTAGCAGAAACCAAAGCAAGATCCCCTGCTGCCACTGTTCCTCTGGCCATAATATGGGTGTTGGTCACTAC